GCAGACACTTAATGACTGAGCCACCCAGGTGCCCCGCCTTCAGTGTTTTCTTTAGACAATACAGGACATCACATACCCCAGCACCAGTCTCTGTGTCAAGCATAACTAATCTGAGAGCCCTGTTCTTATCAAGATGGCCCCAGGTTCCCATCCACTTGACTACATGCCTGCATAACAGGTATAATACAAAAGCTGTGGGCACACAGTTTTTCAAGCAGTTCTGGGTGCAGAATGGGATGCTCCACCTGCTCTAACCTAGCAGGCTCCCTTCCCTTTTATGCTCAGAACTCAAAGCCTCGGGGACACTCCGCTCTCATGAATCTGTTTTCTGAGGAGAGGACCCACAGGGCTGAGAAATTCTTGAGGTCCTTGTGAATGGTCAGTTCACAGAAGAGAAGTGTAGGCTATCTACCTAGGACACATTGTTGGGGTGGGGGGGCATTGGTCTTTGATTCCTTTTCATCCTCCCTCCTGTTTCTCAAAGTCCTTAGAACTTAGTCCCTCCTGGCTCTAGCTGTTTATAAGCTAAAATCCCCTGCTTAGCATAGGTTTTTTCATCTCTAATCCAAGGAATCCCATTTAGTTCAGCCCATTTATTGAGTGGCCTCTACAAATAAGGCCCTAAATGTACAATCTGAAAATCACCTTCTTTCTGCCCTTTTATATTCTCCGTCAAAAAACATCTCAGCTAGGTACCAGGAAGATTGGATTAATTTATATTAATGTGCAATAAACAACATATTGAATCACTCGTTCAATAAACATTTGTTGAGTATCAACTGTAAACCAGGTACTCTTAGCAGGCACTGATAGGGCAGTGATTAAATTTCCTGGCCTCCTCAGGTAAGTTACATTCCAATGGGGGAGACAGATAGTAAATAAGTTAAGTATATAATATGCCAGTAGAGTGAGTGGAGTAATTTTAAAACATACAGCAGGCCTGCTAATGGGGGAAGGAAGAGTATATGTACATGTGGGGGCAGGGGGTATCTTAGAAGTTTAGTTGGGAAAGGTGCCTCTGGGGAAAACAGACCTGCTATAGCAGGGGGAATGGGTGGGTAGAGACTTCAATTTAGAGGGAAATCTTTTTGGTAGGATTTCCAGTTACCTGAACTTCTCATCAAAAAATAATAATGTAGGTGTGCCTGGGTGGTTTAGTCAGTTAAGCATCGGACTTCAGCTCAGGTCATGATCTCGGGGTCCTGGGATTGAGCCCCGCATTGGGCTCTCTGCTCAGCGGGGAGCCTGCTTTTCCCGCTCCCTCTGCCCCCCTCCCTCACCTCATGCATGTACTCTCTCATGCTCTTTCTCTGTCTCTCTCAAATACGTGAATAAAATCTTTTAAAAAATAATAACATAGAGATGGAGATGGAGAGCCTCTCCAGTATAGAGCTGTAGGCTGGACAGCTGCACAGTACGGACTCTCCTGTCCCCTGCCAGTTGGGGTCATGGTTCTGATCCCTTGCCTAGCTCCTCATCACTGCCCCTTCCCAAGCTCGTCATCACCTGACTGTTTCCCTGTTTATCTCACTGGTAGATCTTTCAGCTTGGCTTTCTTCCCAGCTACCACTTACACTCTCATCCTTGATGGTAATGCAGATTCTCCCATCACGTTGCTGTGGGCTGTTCTGAATAAACTGCCTTCCCTGTGACTTGGAAAAACCTACTCATTGTCCTGCCCTGTGGATTACTATATAGTTTATCATTTCACTGGGACACTTCTGAGAACAGAGGGGGCACTGTTAATAATGATGCTGGGCCTACAGGTATAGACTGGGACTGTCTTCTGCAAACTGTGTGATTGGTCACTGTAGATATGTGGTCATTGTCCCAGTTAGCTCCAGCCACAAGTGAACTGAGACTGCCCACTGCCAGCATTCATCTGGAGGCTGAGGTCAGGCTCCTTGCATGTGTGTCCAAAAGTCAAAACAAAGATCATCACTCTTTGGTCACTAGCCTTGTTTTTCACTCTCAGGCCTGTTTTTTCTAGTTTCCATCTTGGAGATCCCTCAGTCTCCACACCGGGACGCCCCTCCACTAGTTTTCATTCCTCTGCTGGGAATGGACAGAGACTTCCTAAACCTATTTTCTCTGCTTCTTCAGGCTGCTACCTGGGATGAGATGAAGACTGTTCTTCCGTGTCCAGGTCTGAGACTGCTGTCTTCAGGCCAGACACCCTTGCAAAACCCCTACCAGGCCTGTGCATTTGCCCCTCTGGAGCAAAGATGGAATCAGAGGAGTTGGGCTTCTAGAGCCAGAGTCGAACTGATTGCCCTTCCAGCCCCTTGGGACACTAAAAATATCCAGAAATATTGTGCATTGCTTCTTAACGTTCTATGCTAACAGCTTTAAGAGATTCGAGGGATGTGATAAACACCCATGTTTTTTTGAAGAAAAATTTAAAGATATTGAGATCAGGCCTCAAAATTGGGAAGTAACATCCAAAAAAACTTTTGTAATAAGACCCTACTGGGTTATTTTTATCATAATAATAACAGTGACATCTTATTGGATTCAAATGTACTTTGCCGTATAGGTTCCATAGTCCCTTATCTGAGTTCCCAAAACGTTCTGAAAACTTGGGGTGGGGGGGATTTCAAAGTTTGTCAGAAGTTTGACAGCAAAACCTGATGAATTGGCTTGAGTCTTTTTTTTTTAATTGTATTATGTTAATCACCATATATTACATCATTAGTTTTTTATGTAGTGTTCCATGATTCATTGTTTGCGTATAACACCCAGTGCTCCATGCAGTACGTGCCCTCTTTAATACCCATCACCAGGCTAACCCATCCCCTCACCCCCCTCCCCTCTAGAACCCTCAGTTTGTTTCTGAGTCTATAGTCTCTCATCGTTCGTCTCCCCCTCCAATTTCCCTCCCTTCATTTTTCCCTTCCTACTATCTTTTTTTTTTTTTAACATGTAATGTATTGTTTGTTTCAGAGGTACAGGTCTGTGATTCAATAGTCTTACACAATTCACAGTGCTCACCATACACATACCCTCCCCAATGTCTATCACCCAGCCACCCCATCCCTCCCACCCCCCACCACTCCAGCAACCCTCACTTTGTTTCCTGAGATTAAGGATTCCTCGTATCAGTGAGATCATATGATACCTGTCTTTCTCTGATTGACTTATTTTGCTCAGCATAATACCCTCCAGTTCTATCCATGTCATTGCAAATGGCAAGCTTTCATTCCTTTTGATGGCTGCATAATAGTCCATTGTATATATACCACATCTTCTTTATCCATTCATCTGTCGATGGACATCTTGGCTCTTTCCATAGTTTGGCTATTTTGGACATTGCTGCTATAAACATTGGGGTGCACGTACCCCTTCGGATCCCTACATTTGTATCTTTGGGGTAAATACCCAGTAGTGCAATTGCTGGGTTATAGGGTAGCTCTATTTTCAACTTTTTGAGGAACCTCCATGCTGTTTTCCAGAGTGGCTGCACCAGCTTGCATTCCCACCAGCAGTGTAGGAGGGTTCCCCTTTCTCCGCATCCCCACCAACATCTGTTGTTTCCTGACTTGTTAATTTTAGCCATTCTGACTGGTGTGAGGTGGTATCTCATTGAGGTTTTGATTTGGATTTTCCTCATGCCGAGTGATGCTGAGCACTTTTTCATGTGTCTGTTGGCCATTTGGATGTCTTCTTTGGAAAAATGTCTGTTCATGTCTTCTGCCCATTTCTTGATTAGATCATTTGTTCTTTGGATGTTGAGTTTAAGAAGTTCTTTATAGATTTTGGATACTAGCCCTTTATCTGATAAGTCATTTGCAAATACTTCTCCCATTCTGTTGGTTGTCTTTTGGTTTTGTTGACTGTTTCTTTTGCTGTGCAAAAGCTTTTTATCTTAATGAAGTCCTAATAGTTCATTGTTGCCCTTACTTCCCTTGCCTTTGGCGATATTTCTAGGAAGAAGTTGCTGTGGCTGAGGTCTCGAAGAGGTTCATGCCTGTGTTCTCCTTTAGGATTTTGATGGACTCCTGTCTCACCTTTAGGTCTTTCAACCATTTTGACTCTATTTTTCTGTAAGGAAATGGTCCAGTTTCATTCTTCTGCATGTGGCTGTCCAATTTTCCCAGCACCATTTGTTGAAGAGACTGTCTTTTTTCCATTAGACATTCTTTCCGGCTTTGTCCAAGATTAGTTGACCATAGAGTTGAGGGTCCATTTCTGGGCTCTCTATTCTGTTCCATTGATCTATGTGCCTGTTTTTGTGCCAGTACCATACTGTCTTGATGATGACAGCTTTGTAATAGAGCTTGAAGTCCGGAATTGTGATGCCACTAGCTTTGCTTTTCTTTTTCAACATTCCTCTGGCTATTTGGGGTCTTTTCTGGTTCCATACAAATTTTAAGATTATTTGTTCCATTTCTTTGAAAAACGTGGATGGTATTTTGATAGGGATTGCATTGAATGTGTAGATTGCTCTAGGTAGCATTTACATCTTCACAGTATTTGTTCTTCCAATCCATGAGCATGGAACATTTTTCCATTTCTTTGTGTCTTCCTCAATTTCTTTCATGAGTATTTTATAGTTTTCTGAGTACAGATTCTTTGCCTCTTTGGTTAGATTTATTCCTAGGTATCTTATGGTTTGGGGTACAATTGTAAATGGGATCGACTCCTTAATTTCTCTTTCTTCTGTCTTGTTGTTGGTGTATAGGAATGCCACTGATTTCTGTGCATTGATTTTATATCTTACCACTTTACTGAATTCCTGTGTGAGTTCTAGCAGTTTTGGGGTGGAGTCTTTTGGGTTTTCCACATAAAGTATCATATCGTCTGCAAAGAGTGAGAGTTTGACTGAAATGGCTTGAGTGTTATAGTCTTTATTTATCCTACTTAGTGTGAATATTCATGTTTTGCTACAGAAATATTACTATGTTTGGTTACTTCCCCAAACTTCAACAGTTTAACTGTTACTATGTTTACCTTGGGTATCAGTGGCCTAGTTGATTTGGATTTTTACTGTTTCCTTCTAGCTTCCCGAATACTACATTCACCGCATTCCCAGAAGCCGGGAGGTTCAGCAGTCCTGGCTCTCCACGGTGCTCACCACCCTGTACTCCTTGTGGCTCTCCTTTCCCTTGACTCACAGAGTGAAACCAGATTTGGTACGTATAATGATCACTAAGGGAAGGACAAGTCACACTCCCGCAGATCCTTTATCAGTAATAAGACCATAATATTTTCTTCACCAGCTACCATGTCTCAGCGTGCCAGATTTTAGACTAGACCTTTCACTAATGTATGCTAAAATTTATCACACAAATACACTTTGCTGAAAGAGGTGAGATATTCGTCTTCCCTTTCTATCTGTAACTTGAACTCTAAATTCCCCCTCTTCTCCGCCTTCTCTTTGTGGTGATAAAACCCCAGCAGTACACTATCTTTAACCAGTTTGTCTTCCTATTCACCTGTGGTTCCTGAGCCAACATCATGTGCTTATCAATCAGAAGAGAACCAATTTTTTATTCTTTTTCAGTACTTCTTGTTTTTGTTGAGACTCTCTTACCAGATATGGTATGCAGTGGGATGAATGTTATACACACCCCCAAGTTTTTGTAGGAAAGTAATACAGAAAATAGAAATATAAAAACTTAATTATGACACTGTATTGAACCCCACCTTCCTTATCATCTTAAGTTCTCTAAGGTCTTTAGGATGAAGTTCTGTCATTAAATTCTAAATGCATTTTAGTAGACAATGGAGAACAATAGATATGTTATCATGGTAGTGTACATGGTTCTTAAATGCTACTTTCATTCCTATTTTAAGGCAGAATCCATTAATTGGTATAGCCTGAAAGGAAACTCTTTACTTGTTCTCCACATACACAAGTTCTGGCACAGTGGATGTTGTTCTTATAAGTAACTGAACAAAAGTGTGTTTAGCTTGATTTTGAAAGATCTCTATGAGTTTGGTCATTGCCCTTCATAAGCTGGATTACAGTCCAAGTCTCTTCTTTGGATGAGAATTTTATCTGAATGTAGTATCTAAATGATACTACATGAGTAGGTTAGATTGTTTTTAAATGATTCAATTTACAAACAGTGAGATGCACAGACCTTTTTTTCCTAAATTTTATTTAAAGTAATCTCTATACCCAATGTGGGGCTCAAACTCACAACCCTGAGATCAAGAGTCACATGCTCTCCCAGCTGAGCCATCCAGGCGCCCCAAGAGATGAGCAGATCTTAAGTGTATAGTGACCATATCCCTGTCAAGATACAGAACAATTCTGTCAACCCAGAAAGTTTTCTCCTGCTTCTTCTCAGTCAGCCCCTGGCCCTGAGCAGCCACTTTCTGATTTCTGTCACCACAGATTAATTTTGCTTATATTTATCTTTAAATTTTTGACAAAATGAATTTATTTCACAATCTCCCACCACATTTTTTGTGTGTAGATTTAGTTATTTCCCTAAAAGATCATTGTTGCCCAGAAAAGTTTATTTTTTTTAAATTTTTTTTAAAGATTTTATTTATTTGACAGAGAGATAGCGAGAGCAGGAACACAAGCAGGGGGAGTGGGAGAGGGAGAAGCAAGCTTTCTGCTGAACAGGGAGCCCGATGCCGGGCTCGATCCCAGGACCCTGGGATCATGACCTGAGCCGAAGGCAGACGCTTAACGACTAAGCCACCCAGGCGCCCCAGAAAAGTTTATTTATTTCTAAAATTCAAAAGACAGAATGGAAAGGAGAAAAAAGGTTTTGACATTTTAAGTAGGAAATTTGGGATTTACATTTACTACATCACTAGAGGCATGGCCACCGTCACTGGCAACAGCTAGCTTGTGTGTGGTTTAGGACTCTAAAGGGTTAAGGCTCAGAAGGACGTAATGACTGGTGGATGATGTCAGTCACAGATAGGGGAGCTCTGGTGACTGCCTAGCTGAAATATTTGATACCCTCATAGTCTGAAGTATTTGATACTCTCACAGTGGAAAGAGTAACCGGTAGGGCATTAGGACACTTGGTCCCAGGCCCACTTTGGCTTTTATTTCATTTTAGTCAGTTCCCTTCTGGATCTCATCCGTTACCTTAAAAAAAGGATTGTACTAGATATCCTCTCAGTTTCCTTCTGGCTTAGTCTAAAATTTTATGAGTGCTATAAATTTGCTCGTAAAAAGTGGAAGAAAAAAACTATTACGATGTTTCTAAAGGAATAAGAGTGTAAAGGGGTAAAGGGTGTGCAATACTTATTTCCATTTTGAACTGAGTTAAAAAAATTATTTCAAACCTGAGCATTATCCGATCAGCTGTTCTGATACAGTTGGCCTCACAAAATGAATTTGCACTTAATGAAGTCCCCTTCGCTTTACAGAGAAAAGTTAATGGTTAAGAGGCCTTTTTTACTACAACATGTAGATCACTCCTGTAGTCATCCTTGGCTTTCTTATGACTTCTATCACAAAGCACTATTCCTTCTTTACTTGTTTAAAAAAAAAAAAACAAAGAAAGAAAGAAAAGTGAAAGAAAAATCCACTCTTAGAAGGGATGGCAGCATCATACCTTAAATCACTAGAGTTATCCAAACGGCCAGGTGCCCTCCTGCTCTGCTTGAAAGTGTGTGCACCTGCGTCGTCTGCGCCACTCAGCTGTCTCCGTACCTCACTCTGCCACCATAAAATATAAACACAGGCACTTTCCTTATTGTTCCAGAATGAGTGCTGAATAATAGAACATTTTAATGTTTTTCAAGTGGAAATTCCATCTGGTATATAATAGGTACAGTTTATTGAGCACTTACACGTGCCAGATGAGTACTGAGAGCTCGCATTCCTGCCGTATGAGAGAGGTAGTGCTGTTGTTCACATTTAGTGGATGAGGAAACTGCGGCACTGAGGCAGGAGGTTTTGCCCAGAGTTCGCACAACCAAAAGATAATGGAGGTAGGACTGGCAGTCAGGCCTTCCTGATTCCAAAGCCCAAGGCCTTAGCCACTGAACCGTATGCCCCCATTTCTGGTTCACACTGTGGACGCTGTGTTCATTTATTCAGACCAATTAAAAATCAGTGGATACATTACTTTTTAAAATAAATTACATGAAATATCACTCCCCCTAAATAGTAGTATAAAATGAAAATAAATCCCAGCAACTCAAGTACCTGCTTTCATAGCAGATTTAACACTGATGTAATTGAATAATAATAGCATATATCTCAAAATTAAATGTCATGTATATTTGTCAAAATATTTTTAAAACAAAATGGATAATAAAAATAGGGAAATAATACCGTTAAAGAAGTATAATTACAGAATTCTACAAATGAGATTGACTTGGAAAATAAAAACAAGTTTATATTTACCACTTTCCTGTTACAGAGTATATTAAAATTCATTAAAAGTATATATTTACTGAGTGTATATTAAAATTCATGCTTGTTTCATATAGGCAAATTATTAAATGAAAAGCTTATCTTAGAGAAAAGTTTATAAACTCTGTTTTGGAGACCTCAGTCTAATCTCTATCAATAATTAGAAAGGATGGTTTCTTCTTTTACAATGTCATCAAATACTTTTTGGGTGGTTCTAATATTTCACACATCATATTTTTTAGGAAATAGGGTTTTGCCAGGCATCTGTGAATAGACATCATAAGTTCATAAGACTGTTGTTGAGTTTGAAAAGATAATGGAACCAAAAACAGGTCAGTGGTTGCCAGCATCTGGGGATGGGTGAGGGACTAACTACAAAAGGACTTAAAGGAAGTTTTTTGGGGTGAAAAACTGTCCTATATCTTGATCATAGTGATGGTGGTTAGTTGATTGTGTTTGTCAAAACTCAGACCTGTACACTGAAAAGGGTAAGTTTTACTGTATGTAAATCATATCTCAATAAATTTTAATTTTAGAAAAGATGAAATGGATTAAAATACATATCATTGCCAAAAGCAGCACCTTTGGCTTACGTATGGCATTTCACTATCTTTATAAAAGTGATTTGGTGAGTCATTGCTTACCACTCTTGACACTAATCACCCCTGTGTTTATAAAGCCTAGAGAAGTGGAGCAGATCCTTGAATTGAGTTGACAGCATTTGTCTAAAGTTTCTGACATAAAATGCGGCACCTTTGTATTAAAAATATGGGTCAAGGAGCATCAGTAGTAGCAAAAATGACATTTCATCAAATGAACTGAGATCTCTGGTCATTTCAATCACTTATCATTGTCTGTTTTTCTCTTTTACCTTGGAAGTAGCAAATAGAGTTAGTCAAATTTGGAATGCTGTATTATGTTTGATTTATAGATGAGTCTATCCTCGAAGTGGTAGTTTTTAAAAGAATACAGCAAGTGCCTGCTGTGTGCTACTTTTCTGGTTGGATATCTAATAGGCATCTGAAACTTTCATAGTCCAAAATAGTAGATATTTCCTACTCTTTCCCCATTTTAGCAAATTTGCTCAAGTGAAATCCCCAGGAGACTTCTTTGATTCCTCTTTCCCACACCCTACTTCCTGTGTTCAGTAGCCCGTCCTACCAGCCATGTCTTTGAAATTTATCACCTGTTTATTTCTGTCCATCTTTACTGCCACCATGCCGTCCAGCCCCCCATTGCATGGTCTCCTAACCTGTCTGCGTGTGGAAGGAAGTTCAAGACCACCTGCAATTTCTTTACCACTTGACAATCAATGTAAATGTTTTAATGTAATTTAGATTCTGTTACTTCACACTTAAAGTCCTCCAGTGGTTTTCTATGCTGTTAAAATAGAGTCCAAACTTAGTGTAGCCTGCGCATTCCAGCCCTGACCTGCTTCTTTGACCTCTTCTCCTCTCTTCCCTTAGTTTACTCTGTGCCAGCCACACCTGCTGCCTTAAAACAAAACAAAACAAAACAAAACAAACAAACAAACAAAAAAACCCAGCTGATTAATATCTTAGAGCCTTTGTACTCGCTGTTCTGTGCTTGGGACTCTTTACTCCTGATCTAAACATAACCAGATCCTTTTTGTTCTTTGAGCTCAAATGTTACTTATCCTTACAAAGGCCTGACTACTAACGCTTCTGCAGCTAACGTCCTCATCCGTCTGTCACATTGTCCCACTTTGTTTTCTTCATAGGACTAATCCCAGTAAAAGTTATCTTTTTTATGTACTTACTGTCATTCCATAAGAAA